TTCATTTAGCCAACCTCTTTCGTTCTGGGAAAATTGCTCCCATTCGAATGCGCGTTATTTCCAACAGGCAGCCAAATAATGCGCCTTGGACTAGCCAAAGATTCTCAGCTATTTTTTGCTCATTAACTCGTTAGGCAGCTGGCACCTTTGACTCTCCTGTATGAGCTTGTGCACAAATATGGCCAGGCTCGATGAGGTCAGCCATACTTAAGTACATAGACCCTATATCAGCTAGAGGACATACGAGTCTCTGATTTCAATTATGTCGTGTAGAAATATGATTCATTCATGAGTTGATATTGTTCAAATGATTATGATTATTTTACAACGTAATGTATAGACACGATTCATCGTTTGTACTTGTTGTATCAACCATGACTATGTCTCAGTGATAGGAGAAACATCATTGACCAGTTACTAGAAACCTAGTCAAGATCCTAAACACAGAACTGAGACTAGGAGAATTTTACTGCGTAAGTAATTATTCTGATGGATCTAGCTCTAGAGGAACATAATCTGGTTGCTTGGCTCGAGGTATATGAACCTGAGTAAATCATGTATAATAAAATATATAGAAATCTATCCCAATCACAATCATCATCTTAATTCATGTGACAATCAACAGCTACAAAGGACAGTTTAACCATTTCCTTATAACTCACGTCTTAAAAATGTCAAGTCAAACCGTCCTGAGAACCCAATTTTAACGCGCCGTAGCACAAGCTCCTCTGATTCAGCCTCCACGCACCCTTTACACCGTCATAGCACCTCGTTTAGCAGTCATTTTAGTCATTGGGTGTGAATATGGCGCGTAGCGCCTTTCCTCAAGCTCTCTGGGTCCATATATCATCCCCCTATTAACCCAGTCGTGCGCTTAGGACAGTGTCTGGTGTTCAGTCATATCATTAAGCCGGTCGTGCCAGATTAGTCTAGTGCTATTAAAGGGTAATGCGACGTCGTCACCTGTCCAGGTTTCACCTACTTTACTGCCCACTAGCCTTCCTAACCGACCTCGGGACCATGGTATTTCAGGTTTTAAGGACTAATTCCGCACACACAACCCAACGATTGGTCACTTCTGCTCCCCGTTGTGAGCAGCTTATTTGGTACTAGTTTATGATGTTTTGTTTTATTCATTAACAAACAGGTATTTGAATTTGAGTTTGATTTCGTTTAGCCCGATTTGGCGCCTTAAGGCCCTATTTCTTTTTTGCATCAGATTTTAATTGCGTATGCAGCTATCTAGCTATGACACAATATCAAAGAAAAGTTCAGAAAAGATGACTCAATTCACAAGAGGAGCACTCATGCCTCAGATTTCATTTGAAAGTACCACTGCGAAGTTATGGGTGTTGAGCGGATTGGTTTGCAAAAGCTTGTGGCTGTTAGGCACAGATTGTATCACTTGGTGGAGCGAGTGGGAAAGTAAAGGAGTCTGTAAATCTGTCGTGGAGAGTTGTTAATTACTCCCACTAGGACACAGAGTGCTATATAAACTATATTTTGTAATAATAAAATCTAGTGGTTGGTATTTACGTCAAAGCGCATTAATACTAACCTCACAATTAATGGGAGATTAGTAATGTGTATTCTACACATCCCTGTCTTTACCATAATTGGAAGCACCAATTTCGACAATGGGGGCTTTTTCTTCACCCCAAGTCAACCCTCATCCGTGAATACCCACCCAGGGGAACGTCTCAAAAACCCTGAGTTATCCAGAAATGCCTCCATCATCTTTCAACTTTTCTCCGCGGCCTTAAGGCCCATGCAGGTGACTACGAGTTCTAATATTTATATAGGAGGAAACCTTTATGGTAAAGACCCCCTCAACTTTTCAATTTATATACACTTTAAATTTGTGTTACCTTCAAGAAGTGCACTAATACTGCTATGTCCAGTGTGGATACCGTCCATTTCGTCGCTACTAGCAGGAAATCATCTTTTCCCTACTCTCCTCTCTATCACTCATCGTGGCCTCGACTTCAAGCGTCAGTCGAAACTGCTCTAGCCGCTCTTCCTGCTAGATCCATCCAGTTATCCTTGCAATATCTTTTGGATTGTTCATATTCCCTCAAACGACAGCTTCCCTGCCTTTCTCAATTCTTCTCCTCCACCTTTGGCCCAGCTGCTACAGGCCATGACCTTCTACTTCAAATATCAGTACAGGTATCCGTATTGGCATCATGGATTGTCAGCTTCGATAACTTTTCGTCCGTTCAGATAGGAATTGAACACAATATTTTCGCTTCTTATTTGCATGGCTATGCTGCTCTAGGCCCTGCTCGGGTGTTAAGGGATACTAGAAGGTGATTCTCTTTGCTTCATTCCTGTCTTTCCCGTCTTATCGTCTGTAAAGATATTTGCTTCGTTCCAGATTTTAGGATCTGCTATCGCTTAAAAGTTGGTAGGCTGTTTTGCTGTCAGTTTCGTCCGGGATCGTTCCTATTCTTTAAAGGCCACGACCTTTTCAGCCGCTTTCTGTCGTTCCTTCTTCTCTATATTCCTACACGTTTGACCCCACTCCGCAATATCCAAGGTCCTCGTGAGAGCTCGTACATCTTGCCTTCCAGCTCGGGGTTGCTTAATCTTCCTACATGCCGACGATATTGTATCTTGAACAGGCAGGCTTTTCGATAGTCCGACGTATTGGACCGCCCTTTGTTTCAAATAAATCTGCGTCGGTAAGGTAGAGGTCTCATGCTCAAGTACCTTGCTGCTGGTCGAATTGTATGCTCCCGTGATGATCTCTAGACACCTTTTTTGGATACTTCGAGGTGGCTTGATCACTCTTTCGGGAATTTTACCGGCCATTCCGGGCTCGGTCCAAATTTGGGATCCGTAGGTGACAGCTGGTCTCACCACTGCATTACACACAAGTTTTGCCTTGTGGAATTAACAACTAGGTACATGTCTCCCATCTCATTCCTGCTGGAGCTTAAGCACGAGTGAAGCCGGGCCGGATCAGGTTAACTACCGTAAAGTACAGATATACGTCGTCCCACCTACATGACCGGACCACCTCAGACTTCATTTATGTGTTGAATCATACTAAGCCTGGCCGTCCAAAAACCCGCTCTTTACACGCCGCGGCGCAAACTCCTCCTCAGCCTCTACCTCTGCCACCACGCGCCCAAGCCATTGACAACCTTATCGAGTCCGAAATATAAATATAGTCCTAGATCTCATCGTTGCTCTAGCCTTGTACCTCAATATCGTACCGATGGTTTGTTTTCGTCATTGGGGATCTATGTGATTCCATCGGTGTATCTTCCCTCTTCTTCCTTTGTACACGTCCCGTTTCCATCATGACTTTCCTCATTAGGGCGTGTGTAGGTAGGTGATGTGACGAGTATGGAGGTTGGTCGCAGGTATATGATCGACGGAGAAATGCTTTGTCGCAAATATGAGGAGTTTGAGAGACTATTTTTGTTTAAATACGACCCCTATACAGACCTATGTCCATTCATGAATCGTGTGTTGGTGGTGATGAGTTTTTATTCGACTTTCTTGCGGTTGTGAAATCTCTGCCGACTCATTTTTCGACCAAAATGCCGAGTACAACTCCTTCAAGCCGAAAATGCATCAAATAAAGCTCATATTGCCCTTGTTCATGACAGAAACTCGGCCCTGGAAGAATTATTCACTCCCAGGCTCGTAGAGAACACCATTGAAAAATGTTCGGTCTTCGTCCTCCACTAGTTTATGTTGGTCGAACGCCATGAAAAATTCGCTCGCGTCTGCGGTTCTTGCAATGGTCCCGTTTTTTTTCAACAAAAATCAATACTCTACGGCGTGAACTTATTCGAAAGTGTGTGCACCAAGTCTACTAGTTCCGTTAAGCCACGCCACCTTATCAAACTATGTCAAGCGACTCTTCCAATAAACTTGCAAACCCAAAAATAGCTATAGGGCTTGGTAGTATGTCGCCGATATCTCTCTGCTATGATGGGCTGCCACGTAATAATTACTCGGGCTAGCTACAATGTGGAATAACCCGCATCGTTCCAACCTATCAAGAATTCTCGTACTATATTGAGTCTCGGAAACTAAAGAGATCGTCTTCACGCTACCAACTACTGTTAAAGATTTTGTCTGACCATAACTCTAAGCTTGATAATGGCCACCAAGACGAAGAATAACATGGACTGTCATTAAAAATAATAGAGCGAGAATGCACCAGTAGGGAGATAAGACCATTTTAAATAGGGGTTACTAGTCTAGAATAGGTATGGGTATGGTGAATGTAGACAGAAGCATCATCATATTATAGAGGAGTCAAGTGCGCGATATATATACACACGTATCCTATCTCGGTCCTTGACTCCTAGGAGATATTGAGCATAGCTTAGGACTTTAAAAATATTAAAAAAAAAACGAATCCTATCTCTATTTATCATTACCAATCCCCCCACTTCTATTAACACCATCTATCTCTGCTATTCATCGCAATCCTGAGCATCAACATGAGTCACTACTATACGGTATGTCTGTACGGATCGATAACAAGAGAGAAATATCAACAATTAATATATTTTAACTGAAATTACTTCCACCAAAGACACAAAGCGCTTGAAATGCGTTAAGCTAGCGGATCCACCCACAAATTTTCTTTGCCGTGTTTTATTTTTGCCGTGATCAAGCGCTCTTTTTCCGGCTCTACAGTAACACTTGGCTACCAACTGAAGGGAACCTACAATCTAAATTTCGCGAAAGGCAAAACAAAAAATTTTACTCGAGCAAGAATGATTGCTATTGGCAATTTTCTTTTAATTAAAATTCATTTGGGTGGCGTCGAAAACTTAGTGAGCCACTTATTTAATGCTAAACTACCAGCTTAGCTCTCTATTTTGATAGTATTTAGATCAAGCATCTTAGGACCCATGGCTATGATGATAGTCTACAGTAGATGCTAGTTTAGAGGAGAGAGAAAAAATTTACATCTTCACCTCTTCTCAATCTGCAGAGACCACGGGGTTTGAAATAGATTTTCAATCAACATGCAGCTTTCCCGAATAATCTCTATTTTGTTAGCATCTGGACTGATAGCCATATCTACAAGACCTTGTCGCGCCTCTTACACCAAAACTCGAACTTCCGCTGATAGGGTTATATATATCATAGAAAGAACCCACTCTGATATAAATCTCACCATTTCCATGAAAGATATCAACGGCACGCATATCATGGAGCAGAATATCGTTGAAATAAATGAGAACAGCATTTTGTGTCTCGCAATCCTCGCCAACGTGACGAATGTGACTACTATCAAAATGACGCCAATAATCGATAATGGCGAAGGGGAGCGAGATAAATTGTCTGAGAACTGAGAGTAAGTATCCTAGCATCTGCAGACGCTGCAAACTAATATTCACTTGTGGGAATTCAGGCCCCAAATTCACGAGAATTCAATTATCGGAGATTATCGAGGGATACCATTAATATCATAGTTTTTATGAAATTTTAAACCACCTAAACCTAGACACTGATTCTTGCTTTTAATAAAAAAGCTTATGCATGAAAAATACTCCAAGAGGTGAATTATGGCGCCAAATCTTTGAGTTTGTAAGCATCGAAATCTTACAAATACATGTTACCCAAGACCCTTTTTTTTATTTATCAATGAAGTAACTTTTACACAACATGGTGCATCTCATAAAAGTCAATACCTGGTATTTCTGAAGAGAAATACCTGGAATACGGCTTAATGTTAAAGATGTTGACTGGAAAGCTCTTCTACAAAAGTCGAATTTAACGTACTACCTAGGACGATTATGTGACCTATCTCGCTCAGCTATTTTTTTTAATTTTGGATCCTATTTAAATTACTGATTTGGCGCCCTACGTGTTGATATAGATATCTACATACTTCAATATTTACAAAAAAAAAATCTCGATCAAAAATAACCCACCCTTCATGTTTGATGTCCTATTTTAACTATTTGCTGCTCATGGAGCGCAGTTGCACGTCAGGGCCATCAAAGCAAGCCAACCACAACTACTCTGTTGACCCTAAGAATTCCTCGTCCTATTTCTTTCCCTCAGTAGCATTTCAAACGCCTTTATCTGTAATTGCTCTATCCAAATCTTATTGCGATGTGTGCTAGACATCGTGGTGTCGTTAGTCAAAGTTTAAGGCTCTATCCTGAAATGCAGTGGTGGCTCGCTACAGATGTGATCGTAACAATACAACAAAGGACTGTATTGAATCATAAGAGAGTTGGTCAAACATAATTATCCCTGCACTTTAACATAATGGAGTCATGATATGACATTATTATTATCGTGACCGGATACTACTCCAGCACCCAGAGGTCATGGCACGGGTAGTCTAGATCTATAGGACTCTTCGCTACCTATACTTTTGTTTCATAGAAACTAAGAGCGCAAAAATAACAAAAATAACAAAAATAACAAAAATAACAAAAATAACAAAAATAACAAAAATAACAAAAATAACAAAAATAACAAAAATAACAAAAATAACAAAAATAACAAAAATAACAAAAATAACAAAAATAACAAAAATAACAAAAATAACAAAAATAACAAAAATAACAAAAATAACAAAAATAACAAAAATAACAAAAATAACAAAAATAACAAAAATAACAAAAATAACAAAAATAACAAAAATAACAAAAATAACAAAAATAACAAAAATAACCAATTTAATCACCATTTCTAAGGTGCTAGTGCCATGAGCTACACCTTAATCCTCGTACCACACCAAACGGTCACAAAAAGCATTATAGTTGACATTTACGCTCCATTTTCACGATTCAGTCTTGCTTTAACATTTCGTTATAGTTAAAAAAACGCCGGAATTTCTGCTATCCTTCTTGCCCTATCATATCCCTGATCGTAGGTCGAGTTTCCTTTGTTACCGTGCGCCACTTTTGGATAGCCAAGCGACACTCTGCAAAATATCATGGCCGCTTTTCTCGGCCGCAGTTTCAAAGCATTTCTATATTCTGGTGTTAGAGCCGTCTGTGATAGCCGGCGAAGTCACCATGCCCAGTCCTTGCTGCGATAAGGCGATGATATGCCCATAGAGGTATACCTAGCTCCGGAGGGCGTTTTCTTCGCATCAGTAGGTCCAGATCTTTATACCTATCCGTCCTGTTCTTGTGCCATCAATCTTCCGCCAGTTTCTGCACGCAGATTGTGACTTGGCGCTTGAGAGCTGCAAATTTCAGGACTTCGTGAGCTTCCTCCCAGATGATCTTAGGTCTCGGTAAATTCCCATCCCTTGTCTTTGCTATCGCATCGGCCTTTTCGTTTCCTGCCATACCGCTGTGGCCCGGAATCCAGCAAACCTTTATCGAGAGTCGCGTCCTACAAAGTTCCTTAAGTTTCTTTACCTCAACGTGTGAGGAGTTAGTTCTAGCGCTTGTAAGAGCTTCTACTACCTCTTGATTATCGAGGAGCACCTTTACATTGGCACTACCTCCAAATTCCAACGCTGCCCCTAGCCCTTGAACTGCCCCAGTAATCTCTGCATCATAGATCTCAGCTCCAGGAAGAAATTCTCCAACGCTTGATAAAAGTTCCCTATCTCTGTAGATAGCGTAATCATAGGCTGAGTGTACTGCACCATTAGATGATCCATCTGAATTGACACACAGGGTTCTTGCGGGAAGGCTCCTGAGCCAAATCTTGATCAGCTTCGCCTTTTGTCAGGTAACTAGGAGCCTAACATGTGACAGGCGAAGTGTATGTAATTAAAGTAAAAGATAACTCAGTAAAAACAACTTGATTCCTATTTCTCCCGGAATTCTAGGACTATATACACTGATCATGATTGACTTGATCTCCTGATCTCTAAATATATACATGCCCTAGGAATAGAATAACCTGCAGTTCTAAATATAGAATACAAGCACTGACCAAAACAAACAGCCCATGTACGTATGGACAGTCCCTATTTTTGACCCGAGACATTTCCCTGTCCAACTTCTTCGGTGGTTATTCTTAGCCGTCGACACCTTTTCCTCTTTGTTACATTTGGCCTTGGCAGTAGCTATGGCTATCTTTAGTCCATATAGATGCCCGGGACTTTCTGAAGCTGGTAGGTTAAGATTTCCGTTCTGTAGGCGTGTTAGATACCGTTCCGGAACTTTGAACATACGTTTTTTCTGCCCCCCTCGTAGTTTGAGTCGGTTGATTGCCTCCTTGGGTGTCTCAACTGCCCTTGATGCCAATGGGTGACAGCTGTCGAGTCGGCAGATTCTGGCTACACTTTGGAGCTGCCACTGCTGTAGCATGATTTCTGCCGGCATGATTCCTGTTTCCCGGTTCAGAACTATATTTGGTGTAGTTCGCCATACTGGTAGTACAGCTCGAACTGCAGTCAAAATTGTCCTGTCCAGTAGTTTAAGGTGCCATCCGACACCTGTACTTACTCTTTTATCTCGTATTGTCGTAATACGAGTAAGTTTATGCCGCCAAGCCTCGGCACCGTATACTGCTGTACTAACTACACAAGCATTAACCGCCCGAATTAACGGTCCGGGAGCTGCACCTCGCTGTACCCTGTTCACACTATGTAAGAAGTGAGGTAGTCGTTGTGCCTTACTACACCATTCCTGAACATGCTGTCTGAATGTCGGTTGCGATTCGAACCAAACTCCGAGCCATCGAATATGTGGAGATGAGGTAATAAGCTGTTCACCAACTCTAACTGTGAGGTTCGATGGGTCAAGTTTCTTCTTCGGTCCTCCCCCGATAACAAGTAACTCGGACTTCGAAGGGCCGAATCTAATCATGTGTGTTGAAGCAAGTTGGACTATCCTATCAACTTCCTCCTGGACAGCCTCTATAGCTTCCCTAGGCGCATTATCGAATTAAGCTATGGTGATATCGTCTGCGTAGCCAAATTTGCAGCTGGAAGAGCCATTCTAATATAGAGTCGCGATGTATAGCATGAAAAGCAGTGGTGAGAGTGGTGATCCTTGCAGAACACCGCACTCAATAAGCTTTTAGTTAGAGACAGCTTCTTTGTATCTTACACGGGTTCTTCGCTGTTTCAAGAATGATTTCACCCAGCGATGGAGAGATAATGGCCAGCCTTGCCTTCGCATTCGTGCAGGCAGCCGATTGTGTAGCACCGCATCGAAGGCACCATGAATATCAAGAGTGACCATAGCTGTTACTTTATTGTATCTCATTGCAGCTTCTACATCGTGTATAATACATGATACCAAGTCAACTGCTGAGCATCCTGGTAATGTACCGAACAATTGTGGAAATACTGCTTTATAATTTATTGCGAGCCAGGACATCCGTTTAGCTATTAGTCTTTCCAGTCCCTTGCCTAAGCTGGAGAGTAGCGATATAGGTCGCGATACTTTTGTGCTTGAAAGGTCGCGTCCAATCTTTGGAAGTAGCAAAACTTCGGCTATACTGAAGGTTGATGGGAAATATTCCAAGTTCAAACATGCCTGAAAGAGGTCACTGACATATGTTCCAATCGAGCTCCAGCAAGCCTTGAGTAGTCGGACGGTGATTTTGTCATACCCTGGAACTGTTTCTTTACTTCCAATGGTTGACGCTGCAGCTTCTTACATCGAGACCTCTCCGTTTCATGGAATAGACTCTAGTTGACCATCATCCTACGTATCTATATCGTTTCTCAGGTCGAATCTTGCAAGGAGAGAATTCCACAGTGCGATTGTCCGCTCGAATGGATCTAAAAGCCACTGATTTGGTGCTACCAGAATAGGGGGAGGTTCTTTCACCGACTTGGGTTTGGCCCATCGCATTAGTTTGAATACTTGAGCTTCTATCTCTAATACTTTGACTTGCTTTGTCCAGTATTTGCGTTTTGCTGCCTTAACTTCGGCTAGAAACACCCTTCGTGTCAGTTCTACATCACAAGATTTTCTTTTAGCTATCCTGTAGTCAACCTGTCGTCTTTTGCAGTTTTTAGTCCACCAAAGTGCTGTTTTTCCTTTGCCTAAGGCGGGTACTCTTCCGACGACTTTAACCGCATCTTGAAGTACTCGGGTTAAACTCCTCGCGAAGTCCTCAATCTCGATTTGACTACTAAGGGAGCCAGGCCTTACCCATTGCTTTACGCATCGAGCAAACTCGTCTAGGTCGCAGTCTCTAACGCGGGTTAGTTTTGGAATTCTAGATAGCTCCGAGTATCCGGGTGTGTCAACTGAGACCTAAATAGTAGAGTGGTCTGATGTACAGTGAAAGCGGTTTGTGTAACGGCTGGTAAGCCGATTGGTCCCTGTAGCCTATGTTGGTTAACTTAGGCCTGATTCGAGTGGCGTTATTAATGGCTACCAATGCGCTAATATGCGACGCCACCCAATACAAT